TCCTGCCTCAGCCTCCTGAGTAGCTGGGATTACAGGCACGCGCCACTATGCCCAGCTAATTTTTTGTATTTTTAGTAGAGACGGGGTTTCACCATGTTGACCAGGATGGTCTCGATCTCTTGACCTTGTGATCCACCCGCCTCGGCCTCCCAAAGTGCTGGGATTACAGGCTTGAGCCACCGCGCCCGGCTAAGTTTTAAAATTATTTGTAGAGACAGGAGGCCTTACCGTATTGCCCAGGTGAGCCAGGGTGCCTGGCCCCTTCTCTGTTTTTTGTTGTTGTTGGTATGGAGTCTCACTCTGTTGCCCAGGCTGGAGTGAAGTGGCGCAATCTCGGCTCACTGCAACCTCCACCTCCCAGGTTCAAGCGATTTTCCTGCCTCAGCCTCCTGAGTAGCTGCGATTACAGGTGCCATGCCCAGCTAATTTTTGTATTTTTAGTAGAGACAGGGTTTTCCCATGTTGGCCAGGCTGGTCTCGAACTCCTGACCTCAGGTGATCCACCTGCCTCTGTCTCCCAAAGTGCTGGGATCACAGCCGTGCACCACTGCGCCTGGCCAAGAATTGGCCACATTGAATCACAAAGACTCCAGGCTCTTTCAGGCCCCAGAGGTGGCTGCACCAGCTTCTAATGCCTTCCGCCAAGGTGCTGGGGACTCACTCCTCCTTGGGTGGACTCGTTCCAGCTACTCAGGAGGCTGAGTTGGGATAATTGCTTGAGGCAGGGAGGTCCAGAAAAGGCTCTTACAAAACAATAAACAGAAGCAGATGACAGGGTAAAGTCTGAGGAAGGAGGGGCCAGGCACGAAGGCTCAGCTGTGATCGCGCCACTGCACTCCAGCCTGGGCGACAGGGTAAGACCCTATCTGAAATATACCAGCCTGAGTGCGGAGACTGCACTCCCAGATGCTCCCGGTCCTGAACTCCCCACCCTCCACTTCTCAACCTTGGTAACCCCCTGTCAACTTGATTTCAGAAGTTCTCTGATCTGCAGGTCACCCTCCTGGTGCAGGCTGATGACAGAGCAGTCCCCTTTCTGGTGTCCGGCTGCCTCCAGATTTTCGCCTTTCACTGCATAGCCAAGGGATGGAAATGTGACTGTGGCCCTCCCTCACTCTAAATCCTTCCATAGCTCCCTACTGCCTGCAGGAGAGAGCCTAAAATGCTCAGCCTGGCATCTGGGGCTCTTCATCTTTGGCCTCCAAGTGAATCCCCCACGTCCTGTTTGCTTCCTCTCCCACCAAGGACCTGGTAATCTAGTGAGTCCCAGCTGCTGGAGTTTCCATGCTTTTGCACTGGCTTTTCCTTTTCCCTGGAACGCCCTTCCCCCTGTGTCCATCTGGCCTCTCCAAGCTCACCCTCCCACGAACAACTCACGTGGCACCATTTGGGGAAAGCCTTCCCCAAGGACACCCCCACACTTCCTACAGCAAAGTCCCCTTGAAAGAATCCCTAGCTCTCTTATCTCACTGTATGACGGGTGTGGGCCTGGCCGCCTCACCTTGGCCTTGGTGACTGAGCCCATCAGCCTGTCTGATAAGGAGCCCAGCCTGAAGGAAACACAGCCAAGAAAGACACTGAATCCCAAGGGAAGGACTGGTTCCATATCCTTAGAACCAGCGACAACTGGCATTCGCATGACACCTAGTTTTAGAAGCCAGTCTCTGTTTGATTTCTTCCCGAAGGGGTTCTTGCCACTTACAAAGGGATGCCTAATACCCAACCTAGTACCAGAAGTGGGGAGTTGAAATTAACAGACTAATGTGGAAGTGCTGACTCAAATTAGATTTCCCTGATTCAGCCGGGAAGAGGAATGAGCATCGCCTTCCATCACTCCATAATGTTCCTTGCAATGGACCAGCTCACCAGACACTGATCTCTCCACCTCCTCCCCGTATTTATTTATTTATTTATTTATGAGCCAGAGTCTTGCTCTGTCGCCCAGGCTGGAGTCCAGTGGCTTGATCTCGGCTCACTGCAACCTCTGCCTCCCAGGTTCAAGTGATTCTCCTGCCTCAGCCTCCTGAGTAGCTGGGATTACAGGTGCTCACCACCGTGCCCTGCTAATTTTTGTATTTTTGGTAGAGACGGGGTTTCACCATCTTAGCCAGGCTGGTACTGAACTCCTGACCTCGTGATCCACCAGCCTTGGCCTCCCAAAGTGCTGGGATGACAGGCATAAGCCACCACACCCAGTCATGCCTGGCTAAGTTTTAAAATTATTTGTAGAGACAGGAGGTCTTACCGTATTGCCCAGGGGAGCCAGGGTGCCTGGCCCCTTCTCTTTCTCTCTTTTTTTTTAATCATTATGGAATCTCACTCTGTTGCCCAGGCTGGAGCGCAGTGGCGCAATCTCGGCTTACGGCAACCTCTGCCTCCCAGGTTCAAGCAGTTCTCCAGCCTCAGCCTCCTGAGTAGCTGGGATTACGGGCATGCACCACCATGCCTGGCTAATTTTTGTATTTTTAGTAGAGACAGGGTTTCCCCATGTTGGCCCGGCTGGTCTCAAACTCCTGACATCAGGTGATCTGCCTGCCTCGGCCTCCCAAAGTGCTGGGATTACAGGCGTGAGCCACCACATTCAGCCTCACAATTGGGCCTGCTGAACTTGGAGGACAGGCTGGGGTGGGGGGCTGCTGCAGCTGGACGTGGGGACACCCAAGCCGCCGTGGCCTCCGTGGAAGCTGTCCCCTGCCTAGCCAGTCCTTGGCTGGAGTTCACAGTTAGATCACACTGCCCCAATTAGCACGCCTTTAAATTTAGCTTTCTCCCCCAGCCAGGGGACTCCGGGATTCAGGGGAGGAACGCTGGCTCTTTCGAGGAAAAACGCTGCATCACTCATTCTGGAACCACAGCTGCTGTCTGTTGCGCCATTCTCGATTCCTTCAGTGAAGGGCCTCTTGGGGCGAGCTGCTTTGGGTGCCTTTGATGGAAAACCCTTGCCCCGTCTTCCTCGTCCTTAAGATGCAGCCGGGGAGGTTGCTCTCCAGCCACGCTTGCAGGTTTCATCCGTGGAAACTGGATCTGTGTCACATCGGCCTTAAAATCTTCCCGGCTGGGCGCGGTGGCTCAGACCTGTAATTCCAGCACTTTGGGAAGCCTGACCAACATGGCGAAACCCCGCCTCTATTAAAAAATACAAAACTTAGCCGGGCATGGTGGCAGAGGTCTGTAATCCCAGCTGCTTGGGAGGCTGAGGCACGAGAATCACTTCAGCCCAGGAGGTGGAGGTTGCAGTGAACTGACATCAGACCACTGCACTCTAGCCTGGGCGACAGAGAGTAAGACTCAAAAAAAAAAAAAAAAAAAAAAAGCTTCCCATGGCTCCCACTAAGCTCAGCGCAGCTCCCGGCACTTCACCACCTGTACGGTCCAGTGGTTGTCCCCTCTGCTTCCAGCTTCTCCCGTCTCCCAAAACCTCCAGGCACAGGCAACCTCAGGACCTATGCACGTGCTCTCCCCAGCTCTTCTCAAGGCCAACTATTTGTCTGCACATTCAGCTTCTCTAAGAGACCCTCCCTGGCCAGCCCATCGTGGCCACCCTTAGTTACTCTATCGTCAAAGCCGGAATCCCTACCTGTTATCCTGTCCCCTGCATTACTGTCAATCTCACTGCGTCCTTGCTTCCCACGGAAGACTATATGTTCCCTGCTAGGGTAGTGATCAGGCCTGGCTCTGGCATCCATTTATGTCTGAAGCCTGGAATAGAAAAGGCTCTTACAGAACAATAAACAGAAGCACACGAAAGGGTAAAGTCTGAGGAAGGAGGGGCCAGGCACAAGGGCTCACGCCTGTAATCCCAGCACTTTGGGAGGCTGAGGTGGGAGGATTGCTTGAGCCCTGGAGTTCCAGACCAGCTTGGAACTCACCACACAGTGAGATCCTGTGTCTACAAAAAAACAAAATAAATTAGCTGGGTGTGGTGATGCATGCCTGTAGTCCCGGCTACTTGGGAGGCTGAGGCAGGAGGATCACTTGAGCCTGGGAGGTCGAGGCTACAGTGAGCTATGATTATATCACTGCACTCCAGCCTGGGCAACAGAGCAAGACCCTATCTCAAAAAAAAAAAAAAAAAAAAAGAAAGAAAAAAGAAAAAAAAGACCAAGGGACATACACATTATTGCAGAAGACCCTGTCTACTCAAGAGCAGCCCCCCAGTCTCTCCTCCAGGACCCCTCTTCCCTTCATCCTCCGTGACCTCATTCTTGAACTCAGAGCCCAGCAAACTGTCTCTATAAAGG